TCCGAGCTAGGCCCTAGAGGTTCTCAGGGAGTATTTCTCACCCTTGTTTTAATATTTCTCTATGATCATGCATTGAGGACTATGCATAATATAAGTGTGGGGTGGGGAAACTACTTTCTGAAGTGTAATTGTATAAAACTATTTTTTTAGTTTTTCTTTTAGAACTCGTAGTAGAAATAGTCTAGGTAAAAAAAAAACGGAAATTGAAAAAAAATGTGAAAAAGTTCAGACTTTTCCCGACGATGGATCTTTTGGACAATTTTCTTGAGGGATAAAAGTCCGATTTAAAAACACCAAAAAGATTTTTGTTTTTATTTTATTTTATTATATTTTTTTTGAATAGCTAGGTAGTATTCCTTGGTTTTTCTTTAGGCACCGGTTCTTTTCCAAGGATGTAGCTCGAACCGGGTATTTTAATTTCTTTTTAGGAGTAGTTTAGGAAGAAACTGAGTCGTTCTGAGATACTCATTGACATGATTGATGCTGGCACATTAGGCTATGACATACATTCTGTTTTCCCGTGTACTTGGTTTGAATTGTGAAGCCTAAGTAAAGTAAATAGCCTATTTTGTGACGCTTTTTCTCAGTTGTTTGACTTGTATGCCACATAATGCAAGGTTGTTTAAAGTTCTCAATTATGCGTGCTTTCTTGACTTGAGAGGTGAACAGAACCGTCTTGATTGAGTCATGTGCAACGTGTGTGTGAGGATTTGTGATTTTCTGTGCTATCCTGTATAGTCTAGAACTTGCCCCGTGTGTTAGTTGAAGCGAAATTGTAAGTTGTGCTAATCTAGGAGATGACGTAGGCATTTTCTTGCTTGATCATGGATGTGCTTGTCACATAAAAATAAAATTTTTCGTTGCTAGCCCCTTTGAGCCTATAGACCTTTCTTTGGCACCCACATTACAAGCCATGCCCTTATTTTGATCTTAATTTGATATTGATTGAACCTGTACCTCCTAAGGAACTTAGTCGCTAAAAGAAGTAAGGATAGATATTGGGGAGCATCTTTTGAGTGGAACCATGGAAGGGCCCGCTGGTGCACTAAAGTTGAAATTAAAGGTCACTAGCCGATGAACTTTATTGTATGGAGTGTGCGGAGAAAAGAAAAGAAAAATGATAGTGAATGTATATAGAAAAAACAAACACCTCCAATTCTTATTGATTTGTGCTAGTGAAAAATAGAGAAGTGCTTAATTGAAAAGAGGGCTATGTTGTATGTGGCAAGTGAATCGGTTGAGAAGAATATGAGCTTGAATTGTAAATGTAGTGTATTAAAGTGCTTAGGAGGGTGAATCACTATTTCTAAATATATCCTACCCGTCCCTTAGCCTACATTACAACCTAAAAGTCCTAATTGATCCTAGATTTGGCTAGCTTAAATTAGTAGAGATATACACTACGGGCAAGCTTATGGTACGACCACGGGATGCATATGAATTCTTTGTGAGAGTGAGTGAATTTTATTCAAGTGAATGATGTCCTTAAATTATATTCAAAAGTATATTTGAATGTGTGGACCAATTTATACTCATTCTTTCGTTTGTTGGTGAGGGCACATGATCTCATAAATGATTGATAATGTTGTAAACTTTCTTGTTGGATAAGTGCATGAATTGAGGGTGCTTAGTAGCTGCAAGTCGATTGTTGAGGTTGAGCAGTGACGAATAGGTTGTTGGAATTTATTGAATTGAAATATTTTACTTGGGTATGCTTAAACGGGAAGAATGTAAAATTTTGTGTGTTGATGCTTGTGTGCTGGTATTGATCATAGTCTAGGGTATAGTGTGTGGGTAAAAGTTAAAGTACTCCTCTATAATTGATACTTGTACGTAGTTGGGGGGTTTATTATATTGTCCAATTGCTCGAGGACGAGCAACGTTTAAGTGTGGGGTGTTAATGATAGGTGATAATAGGTAAATTAGACTATAATTAGGCCCTAAAGAACCACATTTTTGTATAGCTTTTACGGTAAAAAGTGATAACAAAATGCTCTGATTAGTGCTTTTCATGCTTTGCAGGCTATATCCAATAAAAGAAGTCTGTGGAGTACTTTTGGGATCAATTACGGAGAAAAGGAGGCCAATTATAAAATATCCACAAAGTGCACCAAGCGAAGGGACAAAACCAGATCTGAAGGCCACTCTGGCCGCTGTCCGGGCGTAACCGCGGTAGGACCGCGACAGAACACTGCTGCAGATTCTGAAGGCCACTCTGGCCGCTGTCCTGGCGTAGCCGCGGTAGGACCGCGGTAGGACGCGTAAACTTCAGGGACCAAAGTGCAAAACACGAGATTTTAAGCCCTAAACCCTATATTAAACGAAGGAAGCCGGCCAAGAATAGGGTAGGACGCACTTTGGAGCAAAAATACACGCTAGAAACATTAAGGAGCAAGAACAACTCGGAATTCTTCATCTTTTAGTACTTTCAATTAATCAAAACTTATGAAATTGTTTGATTACATCATGAGTGGCTAAACACCCATTGTTCTGGGGTTGTGAGTTAGCCATGAATATTGTTGTTTGATATTAGCTTGACCTTGATTATAATTCACCAATATATGGTTGTTTCTTCAATTCTGTGTTTAATTGCTTAATTGTCTGGCCAACAGTTAGGTTCTATTTACTATCTATGCTATGCTTGGGAAAGCCATGTTTAGATTAGAGAAGAATTGAAGAGAGCATGATCTTAACCCTTAGGGGGAGCGGATTTGTGGTTAGGATAGGAATATATCTAGTCACCATGCTTAATTAAATATCGTAATCTTAATGCGTTCTTAATAGATTGATTTCACAGGAATATAGGCATTAATCTATTGAGAATATGTGAGTAGTACTCCGGGAGAAGGCTATGAGAGCGTTTATCGATTAATTAGCAATCATGGGTGAATTATATGAAAGGGAGAGTTAATTAGAACACAATACGAATGGTGAATCGATCACAACCCTGGAATACTTGTCTCTACTGAATACACAACAATCAATTCGTTACTTGATAATTTAGTATTACTTAGAATCGTAGTATAGTATAATCATATTATTGGACTTTGCTTTTAGCTAGATTGAATAGCAAGTTTAGTGATTTAGTGAGTAGTTTACACAAGTCTCTATGGGTTCGACACTCGACTTATCATTATATTACTTGTTGACCACCTACACTTACGTGTGCGTTTGGGAGCAACACTGCTCGTTAGATTTTCCAAAAGCAGTGCATCTTTGGTCGATCCAACACAAGTACGATAACATTATTGAAAAGTTCGAACAACAACAACATAGTTTAAATGTAAGATAATATAGTGACTATTTTTTCCCTGTAAGTTGCATGTAAATAATACCTTGTCGACAATAGCTTCAACTATATCATCAGTGAGTATCAATTCTGATTCATATAATAATGCTAAAATCAGCTCCTTCACCTGAACTCAGCTTAAATTCAAGGAGAAAAAACAGAAAATTATCTTAGTGAAATAAGGGCTTATTTAGCTTCTATTAAGAAGAATTAACTTAAATAGCTGCTTACTTAACTATTTAAATTAAATATAGCTGACGGATGTATAAAATATGTATAATCCATGTATAGTATGTCAATAACTATGTATAATCAATGAATAATTTATACATACCGGCTAGAAAAGTAACAGTGAATATGACAGGTTATTTGTGTAAAGCCTTCTATTAAAGGTCATATAATGCTAACTTCACACGTGGTCATTAAATTTTACTCACTGTAATAATAGTCACAAACTACTTTTTTGTAACTACCAGTATAATAGTATATTCGTAGAATTATTTTTTTGCATATTAAAGTATGAATGAACTTTATCCATATATTAGAAAAATAACAACACTTTATTCACTATAATATTAACGATAAAGTCACCTTGATGCATGTGTAGGTTTGTCGTTATAGTGTATAAAGTTTAGTGACTTTATTGTTACAGTAGATAAAAGTCAGTCACTTTGATGTGATAAAAGTAATTTTTTGAAGTTACCGTTGTAGTAGAAAGTTTAGTGATTAATAAAATAGTGGGTAAAATTCAATATTTTAAGGTGATTAGAGAAATAGTTTTATGACTTTACTGTTATAATATTACAGGAGTAGTGCATATTTACCTCTTCACGTCCAATGAAGTCTCTTTGCCATAAGTCATACAATTTAAATGCAACTGCAGCATCAGAAACCAAAGGGTTCAATGCAACAGTTGTAGCAGTTTACGTTGCTCTGACCTTTCAAAAATATTGCCGCGCACGTGTCGAATTTTTTTATGTATTTTTGGAGGATTCAGCACACATCTGACGGTAATTTTTGAAAAGTCCGAGCAACATAGATAGCAACGTGAAAATACCTAATTGGATTTTCATACCGGCAATTTTCTCTGCTTGAGAAGCATCAGGATGGAAAATGCTTAGTGTACGAATAAACTCGCCAAAGTCTATTAGCCCATCATTGTTGGAGTCAAACAACTGGAACATCTATATGTAACGGACATTACTGTTAGAGGCAGAGTCAGGATTTGAAACTTATGGGTTCAGTATTTTTCTAAGTTATTGAGTTTTAAATTAATAATTTATGCATAATTGAATAATTTTTAGGATAAATACTAAAGTTACTGAGTTCAACCGAACCCATATCCAAAGGACCTGATTATTGTCAAACCAAGGTTTAAGAAAATGTACATAATGGCAAAATGGCCATTGTTGTGCAGAGGCAGATCGATGGCGGACGGGTTCAACTGAATCTATTGCTTCCAGTTCAGATTATGGATACAAAAAAAATTAAAATGTATAAACATGAATTCTCGAAAGAGGATTCAGATTTCAGACACAGAGGCAGATCTAGGATTTCTAGTACATGAGTGCACGACTAAAATACAAGAGAAAATAATGTATTAAGTGGAATTGATCCGTATTCCTCTTGGTAACTGAATTTACGGTCTCTAAATCCTGGATTCGTCACTGCTGCAGAGTAAATATGTGTATGCCGAAGTAAAGAGCTAAAAAGAAGTTAACTGACCCTGTCTGAAAACAGAGATTGCTTCCTGCTATCTCTGAACAATCCAAGCTGGAACTCTTCCTATAACAAACTCAAACTTATATAATAATAATAATAAAGAAAATTTATAGTAAGAAAGAAAGAAATGATGGAATTTACTCGGCTAATAAAGCCATCATTGCTAATAGAACAGCTTAATTTTCTGAAGAGTTCACTTAAGGTCTTGACATCTTCAAAAGAAACTGAAATCACAAAAAATAGAAGTGAGTACTGTTAAAGGGAAAAAGGGCAGGCCGGTGCACTAAGCTTCCGCTATGCGCGGGGTCCGGCAAAGGGTCGGACCACAAGGGTACGCAACCTTACCCTACATTTTATGCAAGAGGATGTTTCCACGGCTGAAACCCGTGACCTCCTGGTTACAAAGCAGCAACTTTACCAGTTACTCCAAGATTCCCCTTCCGAGTGTTAAAGGGAAGAAAATGAAAAAATAAATAGGAAAAACCTATACGTACAATGTGTTTGAGCTGCGAGTACAACATGATCTTCATATATCCTTTCTTGCTTTCTTAAAGCACAGCCCATTTTATAGTGATATTTTTGTGTTGTTATGCTCTCACATTTATAGGTTTTGTTTAGGCTATATATATACAGAGGGGTTTGATTGTATAGAAGGAAAGGGAGCTTTGGAGCAACGGTAAAGTTGTCTCCGTGTGACTTATAGGTCAGGGGTTCGAGCCGTTGAAGCAATCACTAATGCTTGTATTAGGGTAGTCTGTCTACATCATACCCCTTGAGGTGCGGTCCTTTCCCGGACACTGCGTGAACACGGAATGCCTTGTGCATCAGGTTTGATTGTATGGATAAAAAGCATAGCCAAACATTCATAAGCCTTTTATCTTACTTTCTTGACCATAGAGAGGTGATAATGAGCGGCAGTGGCGGAGCTAGAAATTTTAGAAAGGGTGTTCAAATTTAAAAGAAGTAAAAATATTTCCCGATAAAAGGGTGTTCAATATGTATTATATACCTCTAAAACGTAATATTTTACTTATGTACACAATATAATTTTTTAACGAAGCTTCGCCACTGATGGGCGGGTTAGGTTAAACTTGAGTAGGTAAAAAATAGTCAAATTAATAAGCGAGTTATGACCCCAACTAGTTTGAGACTAATATAAGGTGTAATTGTTTTTGGTGGAGAAAATTGAGGGAGTAACTTGGTAAAATGTACAAGTAATATACAGGGGCGGAGCTATAGCCAATGTAAAATTATACTGGATATATAGGTTAATATTACTTTTTTTACATACATATTGAAAAATTCAGCCACTGGCCCTATAATTACAGCAAAGTATACATTCTATAAAGGTATTTATTCACATTCCTAATTTAGAGATTTCAAAAGGTACATTATATTCTTTAAGTTATCATTTTCATTCAGGTAATTAATTTCCCTTATTCTTTAGTGTTGTTTAGCTAATGTGGAACCAGGTGCTGTTGCTTTTATAATGTGCGGTTGTAAGGAACAGAATTGTTCACATTCACCAAATTGATTGTATATAAGTAGTTTCCAATGTTCCAAATTCAAGAAAATGGCATCAAAGAAGAGTAGTTTTTTTTTTTTTTTTGGTTGAAAATATTTCGGAGCGCATCAATCCTCCGTTCATACGTGTTTCATATATTCCAGATATGGAGTTGGATAAAATTTCATGTGGTTCGGAAAAACCTACTAAGTTCTTAGCTCGAATTTCATGTCGTCTGCATCGACATTATTTGACAAGTTTTTAATACGAAAAAAAACTCTAAATTATTTTCTTAAGAAGCGGTAAAGTATTAAAGCTCAAAGGTCAGTGCTACAATAGCAATAATTACGCTTTAATTTCAAGTAAGTTGAAGTCGGTTGTATTAATTGTCATTGGTCATATCGCTCAACAAAGATTGTTAATTACAGAATGAAAATAAGCAAATTGAGCCCCGGACTATCACTCTATCATCGCCATATTTGTCCCACCGAACATGAGCTCTAATACCGGTTGTTGGGCTAAAGCAGCCTAAGGATAATGTGCTCTTACATAGTGTAATATTGTTCGCTTTGATCAAGCCCGCACAGTTTTTAAAAAAGACTTTATCATTAAGAGATCCCTACATCTTATATATAGGCTCTCAATAACTTTAGCTACCAATATAGGATTTTATTTGCACATCCAACAATCGGAAAATATCGATTCTTATATACAAGATTAGAAAATCAAAAGTGTTTTATGTACGTATTTTTTAGAATTAGTCTAATATTACCGATACTCCAAAAAGATTGAATGATGCACTTATCTAAATATTAAGTTATTTACCTTGACGAATAAAGATCGATTCTCACTTTATACTTATTTTTATTACCCATGTTCAAGAAATCTTAGACCCGTCTCTAAATAAGTACAATAAAACCTAAAAAATTGAACTCATCACACTTAAATTATGAATTCGCCTCTCGACCAGACATCCATTTCTACATCGTTCATTTAATACTTTAAGAGGTAAGAAATGTACTAGTTATCAGTCATATCATCTTTGCATAAAACTTCAAATCCTGCTTGGAATATATTCCTACAATTAATTTTTCTAACTTATTTTTCGCCTTATAACAATATTAAGCAAGAATATCTAGATCATAACTAGATTCGCCTAAGGTGACACACACACCTCTTTTTTAGAAGCTTGCCAACCTAGAAGTCTGTCTGTGCTGCGTGACCGGCCCTCATCAGCCTGCCCTCCATCATGGGCAGGGGCGAAGCTATACAGTTACTTAAGGGTGGTCAATTGACCACTCTTCGTCGAATAATTACATTGTATATATAGGTAAAATATTAGATTTTAGAGGTATTTAACATATATTGAATACCTTTTGTCTGGGGATTTTTTTTACTTCTTTCTAGTTTGAACACCCTTTTAAAAATTCATGGCTTCATCACTGGTCATGAGCATAATTTTATAAACCATAGGAAATTTTATGACACGTTTAAGATGACAAGTTTCAAAAATCTTTTATTCGTTCTTAAATTTCGTGCTCAGTCAACTACGCTATGTATAAAGACGGAGAGACAAATGAAAATTTCTAACACATCTAGCTCTTACATGAGATATTTCTGCTTCAGAAGTCTTCTGGTGGAATATACTTTAGTGACCAAACAATTTTTCCGAATTCAGTAACCCACTTATGCTTACGATCAAACACATCAGACCACTACAATAATGCTACAAAAAGGTAAGGTTATTATCTGGAGAATAAAAATTAAGATGCTGGAATTTATAAAAAGGAAAAGGTCCAAATTTGCTCCTTTACTATATGAAATTGCTCAATTGCCTTTCTCAACACTTTTGATCAATTCATACCACTATAAGAAAATAGATTTTCAGTGACAACATTTAGTGGCGACTAATGAAATCGCCACGAACTTATGCCCATTGGTGGATATAAACCCGGTTGCCAGTGACGTATGCATGATATTATATAAGCGGTATCACAATTTAAAGAAGTGCACAAATAAATAAATCACTATAATGATAAATGGTGTCATTTTTTATATCTATCCTCAATTTTTTTTTAAAAAGAATATATCTGGTAAAAAGTTTCGACGAAGCGGTGTCCTTTTACACCGCATGCAACAAGGTGCATACGCTCTTGTCGGTTGCCATGATAAGTAAATAGTCTTAGTGGCGACTTGGAAATGTGCCACATATAACTGCGGTTAAAGGTGAAATTTCTTGTAGTGATACCTTGCCGTTAGCAACTCGTTTCATCTTTAAGTTTCGCTCTTTATTGTTAAATAAAGGAATTTTTACCTCCTATAGCAAATATTGATACCTTATTTATTTTAAATAAATACCCTTTTAAAAATTATATTCCATAGCTATGTTTTGATTTTCTATAGCCAAATATCTATTTATGGTCAGCTCCTACCCTTAAGCCATAAAAAAAAGCTTTATATTATTTTTCTCTCTCCCCTCAAATTTATCGCATCCCCTCAAATTTCTTGTATCCCCTACCCCATATCTATTCTCCCTCCCTCTCTCTCTCTCTCTCTCTCTCTCTCTCTCTCTCTCTCTCTCTCTCTCTCTCTCTCTCTCTCTCATCTTCCACCTTCAGCTTTTCAACCACATGCACAAAGCCTATAAACTCTCGATCTGTTTCGGTAGCCGAATTCATCGAACATTTCTCACTACTCAATCAGAACCAGTAAGCAGTCCCGTCCCAACTCAAGAAAACATCACCCGTTTAATTTTAGAACAAAAATCTGCAACTGAAGCTGTTCAAACCTTTAGATGGGCTTCCGAGCTTCGCAATTTTGATGCTGCTTCAACCTTACCGTCGCCGCCGCGAACTACTTGTGCCCACGATGCTTGTAAACTCCGTCGAGACTGTGGACTGCTGACGGTGGATCCAGCGGCTTCAATTATAAAGAATATAGGTTTTTTTGAAGCGCACGTGAGGGTATTATGGTAACAGGAACAGTGGCGTTTCGAGTCAGAATCGCGGTCCTCTCGATGAGACGACATTAGGGTTGTTCTTGAACAAAGACGACGGAGTTTGGGGCTGAGTGTCACGACCTGGATTTCCCACCCTCGGGAGTCGTGGTGGCGCCTACTAGAGAAAGCTAGGCAAGCCAACCATTTGTCTTATCTATCTTTTTCCCTTTTTAATCCATTAACAATTAAGAACCAACATTAAATAATCAGCGGAATTAAATAAGCGGAAGACTGAAATGCAATATTTTAATAATGATGCCAATACCAATCCATAACATAAACTACCCAGAACTGGTGTTACAATTTCACAGACTGTCTAAGAATACTACAAATAAGGGTCCGAAAGGAAAATACAACGCTGTCTCTGAAATACATAAAAGAAACAGAATGAAGGGATAGAAGGAGACGCCAAGGCCCACGGACGCCTACAGGACTACCTCGGGTCGCCTGATAAACTGGAAGCAGCAACCTCACTGCGGTCCGAAAGCTACAGTACCGGGATCTGCACAAAAGAGTGCAGAGTGTAGTATCAGCACAACCGACCCCATGTGCTGGTAAGTGCCTAGCCTATCCTCGGCGAAGTAGTGAAAAGGCTAGGACCAGACTACCAAATAATCCTGTGCAATTAAATCATATTCAACGGAAAATAAAGGCAGAAATTTACAATTTAAAAGTAAGAAGGGGGAAGGCATGCTGCGGGGGAATCAAGTAACAACAGAAAACAATAAATAATCGTAAAGAACACTATAACTCAAAAATCAACAATAATCGAAACATCAAGACAAGCGCACGACATCACCCTTCGTGCTTTTACTCTCGTTCTCACCAAATATCAATATAATCGGCACGACATCGTCCTTCGTGCTTTTACCTCACATAATCATGGCACGGAATGATCCTTCGTGCGTTATCACTCATATAAAGGCACAGAATTGTACATCGTGCGGCACAACATCACCCTTCGTGCATTAACACTCTCTCACAAATATCATGCACGACATCGCCCTTCGTGCTTTAACACTCTTCCTCACCAAAACAACAATCACAAACAATAAGGGCAAGAAAATAAATAAATCACAATAAAATCCC